ATTTACAATTAAATTTCTTGCTCATTTTTCTATATTGATAAAAACTAATGAAAATAAAACAAAAAATGATTTTCATATTATTTCACTGAAGGTATAAATTATATTTTTGTCTTCTTTCCTTTTTTCAGTATTTAATTTTTATAACTATCTTTATATTTCCCTAACCTCAATAAGTATATGTATATGTACATACCTCAAGTAATTGTTAAGTGAAATGGCCAATCTTAAAAAAATCGATTTGTAATTTCTAAAGGAGTGGCCCTCACGAGTTTTTTTTACTTGTTAATTTTGTTTTTCTCTCTTTTGTTTTTTCTAAAAGTCATCCTCCCAATATAACATAATTGCAAACAGTACAGAATAATAGCCTGCAGTTTAAGGGTAAACCTTACCTTAAAGATTAAAATTAGATAGAAAAAAAAAAATATTATGTTTGTGTCTAATGACGAAGAGGTCAACAAAAAACCAAAAGAAAAAAAAAAATTTTTGCAGGTGAAGTTTTCAAATTATAAAAGTTGAAGGATACTTTTTTTTTCTTTTCTATTATATAACAGATAAATATATATGAATTATGTATATATACATATATAATAATATTAAATGATTGAGTATGGTTGAATATAAAGCAAGTTAATAAATTAGAATTAACGAATCGTGGAATTAGAAAGCAATTTATTAGAAACGTTCTTTTAGAACTTATTTGTTGTATTTTCATTTATTTTTTTGATTTTTAATTTACTGTTATATTCTGAAATTTATTCGATAATTTAATTTTAGTTTTTTTTTTTTATAACGGTATCAATAAGAAATAAATTTATTTTTATATTATTTTTATTATATAATTTTTATACTTTTTATATTGATTCATTTTGTTCTGGTAAAACATTTATAGCAAAAAAATCCAAAATTTTATTTGTAAAATTACGTCAAAAGTACAAAAGAAATTATGGCAAAGAAAAGTTTTCAATAATACCCTATCATCCTGCGACTAAAGAATATATTATAATATAGATTAAAATTCAAAAACTACAAATAAAAGACCGACAATTATAGAGCAAGTTTTTATAAAACTATAAAACTTCTTAAGAATTCGACGAAATCACATCATCGGAGACTATTAAAAAAATTTCTAAATTAAGAATCTGCAAACTTACTTCACACACATTCTCATTTCATTCACAATTCCTCTAAAGTGTTTTCATTATTATTTTATTAAATAGCGATCTTATAAATATTTTTCTGTTAAGGAAATAAAGTTTTAAAATGTATTTTATTTGTTAAATCATCATCCTGTCACTTAAATCAAATGATTATTCAATTTTTATAATATTTTTAATTTGAATTACTTTTTATAAAACATTATGAATTTTAACAGTTATAATTATTAATTTAATAAAATAAAATTTAATTTCCGATTAATTAAGAAATTAATTTTTAATTTTGAATGAAATAATTTAGTTTTCTAGAATACGCCTATGACATATGCAATGCAATTAAATTAAAACATAAATTTCCGGTTTTAAGCCGAAAATATAAAACTTCATTAATTTTTTTTTGTTATAAAAATCAAAATTATAACGAAATATTCATTATAGATGCCTAAAGTTGTAACTTCAAAATAAACAGAAACAATTATCACTAAAAGCATTATAGGTGATTTCTATATCAGGATATTAAAATTTATATTTCCGGTGAATGATAACAGTTTTTATTCTTCTTCGATATTTTCTCGTACCGCCATTTATTTATATATATGCTTGCTTGTATGGCCTTGAATTTTTTTATTTATACCTATTAAGGTAATCAACGATTATAATTGTTAATTGTTATTATTGTTAATGTATGCATTATAAAAGAGTGCTTTTTTAAGTGAATCCATCAAAATCATCACCCAATTTAAGAGGGTTCTTTTTATTGTTGATATGTTTATTTCATATATTTATATATATTTTTGTAATTAGTTTTTTTTTACATGTTAATATTATAACAAAGGTTAAATTTGTGATATGAGAGTAATTCGGGTCATTCATGTTTAATAAATTTTTAATTTATAGAAAAAATAAACCACATTATGCTGATTTAGTTAAAAAATCTCATTTTGTATAAATTACGTAATGTTATAAAAAAAAGGTTACGATATCTTTTTCAATTATTTTTTCTCCTAAAGACAAGCCAAATACTTAATATTTTAACACATTGTAGCTATATCAAAAAATATTTTATAATATTGGAACAGGATTATTGATTTTATTGAGCTTCTAATAAGGTAAGAAGATAAGAAATGTGGTCTTATCGAAAATTAATGGCATATATAGTAAAAACCAATTGATTATTATTCTTGCAAGCGTAATATTTCCAAAAATATTCCTTTAAATTTACTCCTAATTATATGCATTAAAAGTTGTTTATATTAATATAGTGTCAAAAGAACTTATTTTTCATATTTTTTAAATTGTATAATTAAATTTGCTATATTACGAACCAACATTTCTGGTTGGATCGATTTTCCAGTTTTTCCATTTTATAAAGTAATAGAAATTTCAATTCCTTAAGAGTTTCAATTTTGTATTCAAGTGTAAGTAATTTTATTCTTATATACCAGTCAACTTTCGGCCTGACTAAAATTTTGTTAGCTTATTATTTTCGTCATTCCAAATTCAATATTAACTTTTAATCGCAAATAAAAAAAAATAATAATCAAAATTTAATTTATTTACACAAAAAAAAAACTCTCTTAATTTTTTACGTTTATAGGTACAAATTGACTTATACAAATCTAAACCTTACACATATGATTTTTAATGCTTCAATAATAAATTTTTTTTTATTATTTAAGTAACCGAAACAAAAACAAAAATAAGTAGAAAAAATAAAAAACTTTATGACCTCTTCGGTTAAAAAATTATTCACCTAAGAAACACCTTAATCGCAAAAAAACTATTAGAAGCAGAAAAAAAAAGAAAACATATTACTATACTTTACTTTTTTAAACTAAACCTCAGAGCAAGGTGAAATCAATTATAGATTTACGGTAATTTCGCGGTTTATCATATACGTATTTAAAAATAAAAACCAAAAAAAAAATAATTTAATCGTGCTCCAACTGTGAAGAGTCTAATTATTTACGAGTACATCACTTAACATTGTGATTATACCTGTCTACATACATTTATAAATATGCATATATATATTGCGTGTATTATCGACGTTTTTAACCAACACAAGTCCACATACATACATTTTATATATGATATAGCCACAGTAATAACGCAAAATTTTATTAATACATATACAAATTCATTTTATATGTTATAATGTCAATAATAATTTGAAATTATTTGTTAGGATAAAATTAAATTGCCTTATCAAATACATTTTGATGATCTTTTACGGTTATGGTTTGAGACAAAGATTAAACTAATTAAATTTTATAAAAGTTAAATTATTAAAACCAAAGTTAACCTGTTAATGAAAATTTTACGCTAACAAAATATTAATTTGATATTTTTTTAAATATAATTGTATAGAGGTCACAATTTTGATTTATTAACATTATATTTGTTCACTTCCATCACAATATATGTATATATACAAACATACATATGTAATTATAAATCTTATGGTGTTCTTAATAAAAGCATTTTGTGCTGTCTTGTTGTTTCTAGAGCACAATATTATTATATTTGCTACTCTAGAATTTATAAATTAAATTTTAAAATATGATCTACAGTATCATTTTTAAGTACATGTACATAAATTAAATCTTAATTCCTGTTCGAATTAAAAATACAAACAAAACCTTGAATAATAAATTTTAAAAATTAAAAACAATTAAGTAATATTATTTAAAAAATATGAATAAAATAAATAAATATTATAGTTGATGTTCATAAATTGTGTACTTTGTATAAATTTTAAGGAAATATTTTAAATATGAAGAGTATATAACTAGTAATGCACATACATACTTATGCATGTTTAAGAATTAGAGAATTATATATTTGTGCTCCATTAAACTACTTTAAAATTTCTTTAAACAGCTGATTCAATAAATACAGGAATAAGTAGATTTTTAATTGAATTAAGTGATGAATTTTTAATTACTTTTTTTGTATACGTTATCATAATTGTTTTAATAATTAATTTTTGACAACAAATCATGTTCTTCACTCATCAGTATAATTAAAACAGCTATCGAATTCTTAATTTTTTATATGAAAACCAATAGGATTCAAGCGGTTTACAATTTTTATAAGTTTTGCTGTTTGAATTTCTTAATAAGATTATTTTAACAGAAAATTAATTATTTACTTACTTTAATCAATTATTTACTTTTAATTATAACTTTTGCAGTAATTTCTACATGAGAGTACTTACTCAGGTCTTCATTTGAATTATTAGTACGTTCTTTAATATAATTAATGGGAAATATGTTTTTTTTGGGCGGAAATCGATTTTTTTATTTTAAATATAATTGATGTAGTAGTAATTAAATTATTAGTGAAGAGTTAAAATTACGATTATGAAAAAAGCGACCACAAATTTGTCAACTGATTTCTCTGAATTTTTTCAAATAGTCACCTGTTTGTAAAAATTTCACACATAACCGATTTCAGCATTGTGTACGACTCTGTTTTTAATAAAATAAAACTTGAATATACGATCATTAAGAAATTCAATTTTAACTTATTGTAAAAATGTTTGAAAACTTAAGAGAATAGGAAAATAGTTTTCCTCATAGAAATAATAGTTTCTCTCTATCTAAATATAAGAGTAACTGTTATTTTTAATATTATGTGTAATAGTTAATAAAGCAATATGAAATATTTTTATAAAAACGCATATTTTTATGTTCACAGTATTTTGCTTAAAATCTCAAAGCTGAAATTATCGCGCGAATTCATTAATGACATTTAAGGTTGTTTTCAATTACTTTTATTTTTATTAAACACATAAATTAAACTGAAACTAAAATTATATCTCTTATATTCTTTTCATTTCAGAATTTGCTTTGAAAATAATAAACAAGGAATATGAAGTAATAAAATTAAATTGAGCATTTGATACTGTTTTCCATCACACCATTCTTTTGCAAACTAAAAGGGTAAGTCAATTTGATATAAAACAAACATATAAGAGTACGTTAAGCTAAAATATTAGCAGTTAGCGTGTACAATATAATGATAAAAACTAGATTTGTAGAATTTGAATTAGAATTTAATTTGAAACTGATTAGAGAAATTTTAACGGCTTAATGCAACCTAACAAATAATACAAATACGCCATTTTTCTATACTAATCCAAAACGTTTTTGTTTTAACAATTCGATTGTTGAAAACAAAATTGTAATCGCATACATCAATTTAACATCAAAGTTGAAATTATTAAAACTTTATTGTTGAAATTATAGAGAAAATTTTAATAAATTTTAGATTGAATTTACTGAAATCCAGTTTTAATTTTATGGAAATTTAATTACGAATAACAAAGGTTTGAAATCAAATAATTTTTTTTTCTTCTTCACTACAGTCAACTTAAAAATCAATTTATTACAAGCCATATCATAAGAGTTCCAAAATTTTTCATTAATTTTGATTGTATACATATATAAAAATAATTTTTATAAAAATAGCGCATATTCGTCAACCATTAATCAAAATTTTATTCAACAGTCACAATTTATTCTTTTGTGATGAAATTAATTAAAAAGTAATTTTCATTTCCATAAAGTTTTCTATTCCATATTTAATAATTTATTTGAATAAATTCATTTGTCAAATTTGTCTTTTTTTAAATATATCATTCAATATTAAGATAATGGTATTTTTGGGTAATCTTCTGGCATTCAAGGTTTTCCAATTAAAAAATAAATTAGATTTTTGCTCGATTATATATAGGTATCCTCTGATTCTTTTCTTAAATATTGTATGAGAAAATATCAAATAGTATCGGATTTTTGATTGAAATTGTAATCGTGTTGAATATTCCAGGGATCCAAAAGTAATCATATTAAAATATAATTTTTCTATTTTATCTGTGTAATACCAAAAATAGGCCTTAATTTGGACATACATATGTATGTATGTTAAGCTCATTATTTCATTGGTGGACTTAGCAATTATTAGGCATCACATTATTCGTAGCGTTACAACATTCCGTTTGGTCTAAAAAAAATAACGTAAAAACTAAGGAATTCAACTTACTCATCAGAAAATTCAACAATTTTTAAAAACAGGCAAGCCGTTGTTCTCTGATTTTTTTTTACTTTATTACTCTACCATATTACACATTGTATAGTTTATTAAATTGCCCTATCACCTATTGTAGAACATCTTTAATATCAAAATAATATTCTTATTTATAAAAAGTTCATTACACTCACAATAGGGAAAAATAAAACTTAAATTACATTATTATTTTTTGATTCTATTTTTAAAATTAATTTAGCGAGAAAAAATTCTTATTGTCATTTTTTCAACACGTTGAAGTTCACAATCAATCAAATTGTAATTGTAAAAGCTATTCATACTCATTTACTTACGATATTATCGAGATTAAGGAAAATTCAGAAATTTATAAATTTTGTATTACGATAAATAAGTCATTTTAGTTCGTATATGCCTTTTAATTATTTACATTTATGCTTTGATTGAAAGATTGTTGAAATAAAGTTTTCCAAAATTTTTGAATAGATTTTGTAACATTCTTGAGTAAATAATGAAATAAAATGGAAAGAAAAGCTCGAAAAGACTTCCAATTGAATTTGAAAATAATTTTGTAAAACTCAACTAATTTAAAAAAAAATCCTTATGACACACCTATTTTGTTTCCAGATTTCTTCTTTTTTAATGTTTAGTATAATAATGTAGACCTGAAAGACTTAATTTAATTGTTTACAAATTACAGACAGACTTAATTTAATTATTTACGTTATTACTACAACAACACTTTCTATTCAAGTTTATTTAGTATCATTATCATACTGTAGAGTTATAATTATTGTATACCACTTTAAAATGTATAATAAAACTTTTTCATTTAAATATTAATTTTTAAATTAAATTACTCAAAAATAAATGCTTGCGTTAGCAATTTTTTAATTTTTATCTCGTATATGTATGTATACATAATTATGTATGTATGTATGGAAATAAAAATTAAAAAAATGAAAAAAGTTCAAAATATGAATTACACGCATTTAAATTATTCTGTTTGTTTAATTATTTTTTTTTTTTTCATTTAATAACCATAAAATCTTAGATCACCATATACCATACGATTTAGTTAGATCATAATACTTAAACACATACACCCATATATAAATATATGAGATGATTATTTTCTTAAATTGCCTTCAATAATATTCAGATTAAGAAATTAAGATAAAAGAAAATGTTAATAAATATTTAATTATTAATATACTTAGGTAAATAATGAAATTTTATTTTTCAAGTTTTGTCTCTTGTTTTTTAAATTTTTGTGTAAACATTATGAAAAGTTTTTAGAAAATTTTCAAAAACAAAATTTAATTAATTTTTTAAACACACAAAAAAATTGTACTTTTTGCAAACATTTTTATAACGATCATATAATATGTATGTAGATAACATCAAAAACAAGGATCATAAATTTTATTGTATTTACGTACAAGTATTATACGAGTAATAGATTATGCAAAATAGACAGGGTAGTACAATATTACCTATTACCTTATTTAATTTGCGAATTAGATTTTTGTTGAGGAAATTTTTTTTTTACAAGATTATTTATTAAAATTTAAAATATTAATTTAAAAATTATAAATTTTAAGTGAAGTTATTAAATTCAGATTGTAAACGTTTTTTAATTTTAAATTTTTAGTATCGATTATATTACAGAATTGCCATATTGGCAAAAATATTATCTTTCATTTTTCATATACGATTATCATAACAATCCAAATATAAAATAATTTTTATGCCTTTTTAAATACGATTCAAATTTTATTCAAAATAATAATTTTATAATTTAATTTTCAAATTATCAAGCTGATTATCAATTGAAATTATTTATGTATGTATATTTGTTTTAATGTGAGGTAATAATGAATTTGCAAATGATATATTTCATAAAAATCCCCAATCAATGAGGAACAATATTAATTTTTAGTACACATATACTTTTAATTTATATATTTTTAGCAATGCAGGTAATGCTATATACAATAATGCCGTCAAACCGTCTTAAATTGCTGTCTATTTTACTTATTTTTAAAAAAATTTGGAATTTTTGCTAATTTTTCATATTTGAACATTTATTTGATTATTAAGTGTATATATATATATACACTTATATATATACACTTAATATATATATAGATATCTATATACTTTCACTTACCAGGCAGTACTGTTGCGTTAATTGTTGTCACAATTAACAAAAACAATATTTTGTGTATATATGATATATTTATGTGTATATAACCATTGCAACCTTATAGATATAAGAAATAATAGAAAGGATAAACAAGACATCATTAACTTTTACTATTTATCACCATTATTAAATAATTTTTATTCGCTATATTTATCTTCACAAATTACGGATTTAATAATACATTATATAAAATTGTGTATGTGGAATTTATAACTATTATTAAGTATATGATCATAACAAAAATTATGACATTAGAAAAACAATATGTATGCAAGGTAATTCAGGCATACCCAATTTAGTCACAATTATTGTCACATTTTTAAAAATATAATAAACACGTTTTTAATATACGTTAAAGTTTTGAAGATTTATTTTCCAAATAATAGCGAAGATAAAAGTTGAAAATTCATAAATTATACAGTTTATTTTTTTTTACGATATACATATAAAAAGAAAACACAGTTATATTGAATCAAAAATTACAGTTGAATTTTTGGTTTTCTATGATTTTTGGATGAAAATATTTACCATCCTTTACTTTCCGAACGTTATATCCATTAAAGGCCTTTTTTGACAATTCATTGATTTGGAGCTACCAGCATTGAAATTCCGGAATTTAAAAAAAATAGCAATTTGCTTGTTCTACAATGAACAGTGTTGGCAAACGCACAAAACGGTTGTTCAATTTAACTGTTATCTTAAACTGTTTTTTTTTTTTTAAATCATTTTACTCTTGAAGGTAAACTGCAAAAACTGAAGTTTTTTTAATGCAGTAATAATTTATTGCATAAATGTGTATAACTTTAGTATTAATAAGAAAAATTTAAATAAAAGAGTTTTTACTTATTCAAGGGACATGTGCGGGTTTGGAAATCATTAGTCTAATCCGAATTCGTTTTTTTTTTACTTTTTTTTGTTTTAAACCTTATTTTCTGCCACAAAAAATTAATTATGTATATAAAAATTCATATTTTAGCTTACGTAAATTTTGAAATTAGTGAAAAGCATAAAATGTTTTTATTATTACAATTTTAATAGTACTTTTCTGACATAACATTCACCTTATTTTTGAATTGTCATATTCTTTACAAAGTTTTGGATGTGTGTTTTAATATACATAGATTACCATCTATTTTAAAATAAGAAAACAGTTAAAATAATTTTCGAGTCAATTTCATATTTTTGTTTTTCATTTACTATTTTATTTACAGAAATTTTTATAGTATATAGGTATAATATGTTAAAAAATTTTTAACTCTATAACTTATCGAAATAGTAAACAAATATAAGACTTCAAAAACGAGACTTTAAGACTAACTCTTTCCTTCATAAAAATTTCTTATTGGGTAAATGATGAAGATCTTAAATTTTAAATATTTTGCTATGGAATTTCTAAAGTGAAAATGTTTTTAAAATTTTATCGGTGAACAACTGAAATCACTAAAAATATTATTTCAATAATGACTAAACCTATTGCACTATTAAACTAAGAAGCAATTTTGCTAACACTAAAAAGGCAGCAAATTTCACTACTTACCAACAATCTTTTATTTTTTTCATAAAATCTTTCTTTAGTTTTGCCAAATTTTGGTTTTACGAAAATTTCTTTTACCTCTTAAAAAAACACCTTTTTGTTAATATTAAAAGAGAAACAATCAATATTTTTTTATTAATCACGTATAGGAAAAA